GGCGGTACGCGGGCCTCTCACTGTTGTGGCCTCTCCCGTTGCGGAGCACAGGCTCCGGACGCGCAGGCTCAGCAGCCATGGCTCACGGGCCCAGCCACTCCGTGGCATGTGGGATCTTCCCGGACCGGGGCACGAACCCGCGTCCTCTGCATCTCAACCACTGCGCCACCAGGGAAACCCTCTGATGTCCCACTTTTTAACTTCTGGGGAAAGATGTGATCTCCAGTTCCTCCCGAAAAGATCAGGTGCCCTCGAAGACATTTCTGTCTTAAGCTACGAACAGCAGCAGGTCTCCGTCTCCCAGAAGAGGTGGTTCTGTAGCGGAAGAAGACTTGCCCTCTGGCCTCCGCTTGATTTCAACCCCAGCCCAAGGCGCTGGCAGGAGAAGCTAATTGGGTGCAAGGGGCCTGGGTGAAGGCTGTCTGAAGACTGGCGAAAGGAGAGAGCCAGCTCTTTTTTAAGAAAGCTCTAATTGAGTTCTGAATCAGCCTGGCTCTCTTTGATCCCTCCTCTGTTTCCCACACTGCCTGAAAGAGCTAGATCAGCACTTTATAACAAGGGTGCGTCTGCTCCACACACCCCCACACACCCCCACCCCCACCCCCGCGCTCTCTGTTGCCGCCATCCACTGCTTGTCTCCTTCAGTTAAGATAATGAAGATGCTGAGAGATAAAATGTGTATTTAATAAGGGTGGGGGGAGGAAGGCGGGAAGGGGCAGCCGGGGCCTTCCCTAGTTTGGGGCCCCGCCAGGACTCAAGCTGAAGGCGAAGCCCGAGTAGGACTTGGCCCCAGGGTGTAGGGGTTTCCGGGCCCCGATCCCACTGACTTCACTGCCTGCTGCTTGCCCTAAATTCCCCCACCTCCACCCTCTCAGCCCCACACTCCTTTCTTTCCTCCCTGCTCGCTCCCAGTGGCAAAAACCTTATTTTCAGCTGGTAGCTTGGCCTTTGGTGCAGTGCCCCCGACCCCAGAGTCAGCTGCAAGGTCGGGCTAGGGCAGCCCCTCCAGTCTGGGCCTGTTGAAGCTGTGGGTTCACAGTATGGGGTGGGGGGGTGAAAAAAAGCTGGAGTTAATGAAGACCAGCTGTAGCCTGGGTTCTGCCCACAGTGAGCTGCAGGCCAGCCTTTGGTGGTGGTTGGAGGGATGGAGGTGTGTGACCTCCATCCCTGGGCACAATGATATCCTGTGGCAGCTGAGGCTTGCGCTGCTCTGTGAGCGTGGCTTTATCCTTAGGTTGTAAGAGAGTAATCTGTTTCCCTTTTCCTCCCGAAATGACACTCAGCCCTTATTGAGCTTTATAACTGTAGTGGTGGCCCAGCTGAGATTTGAATATCTCCAGGCTCTTCTATAAACACTCATTAACTGCCTGGGAAGAACCGAGAGCCCTGTTTAACAGCTGGGAGAGAACTGAGGCAGATTAGGGTGAAAGGCTTGACCTGAGCTCACCCCATGGACTCCACCCTGGGGCCCTCCAAACTTCCCGTCCAGCTCCTTTCCCCAGTTTCTGCCTCTTCTAGGAAGAAGCCATGCCCTCTCCCTTCCCTCGACTCTGTCCCTGACTTCCCCTGGCCCTTCACCCCATGACATTTTCCCTGCCCTGGTGCTGGAGTTATGTGCAACTCTCCTTGCAAAATATTCTCCCCCCAGCCCTCTGCAGCCTTCCCATCCACCTTTCCCTGGCCCACCAACCCTGAGTTCTCCCTCTGGAGAAGGTGGGCTGTCCTAAACGGGGTCTGTAACCTTGAAGTTGATCTAATTGTGCATAAGAGGCACTCTGCCCCCCTATATTTATCCTAAGTCGTACCTAGGAAAATATTCTTTCTTTTATGTATTCATTCTAGTAAAGTCTCAGGATCCTATTAAGGGCTGGGTAGGGGCCCGACTTGACCCCTAGGTTCTGCATCCCCTTCATTCACTGACAATTGCCATTTCTGCTAATGGATGTAACACAAATTCCCCCAGCCCCACCTGCTTATACTCTCACCTGGCTCTGTATATCTGCACACACTCCCAGATCTAAGGATATAAAACTGCCAGTTTCCAACTGCTATCCAAGTCTTACTGCTCTTTTTACTTGCTGGAAATCAGGACTTTTTTTTCCCACTTGGCGCGGCCTTCTAGGCAGTTAGGAATAGTGGGGGAGAGATGGGGAGACTGTGCTCTGTCTAGGAGGGGGAGGGTAGAAGTGAGCTCCCGTCCAAAGTGAACTCCCCCTTCCCCAAATTCTCAATAGCCAAGCTACTTGGGAGTGATTAGGAAAGCGACCTTAACCCCAGCTTCAGTCCCAAAGCCCAAATCCAGAAGAAGAAATGTCTTCTCCTGTCCCATAATATCCTCAGCTAAAATCAGCCATGTGCTGCGAATTTGACACTGGGGACTCTTGCTGTCCCAGCCCATGACTCAGACCTCGTCTTTCTACAGTGAGTTCCTTCTGCCCCATCAATTCAGCTCTGCATCCGCTGACCCAGTCAGGGACGGTGGGAGAGGGTGGGGAGAGCCTCCTGTTTGGAGAGTGGGCTTTAGGACCCAACGGGAACCCGTGCCTCTTGCAGCAGCCTAACCCAGAAGCAGGGGGGAATCCTGAATCGAGCTGAGAGGGCTTCCCCAGTTCTCCTGGGAACCCCATCGCCCCCCGCCGGCACGCACCTGAGCAGGTAGGACCACGCACACCCCTTCCCAATTTTCCCTCGGCCGCCTTCCGCCTGGCCTCTCCGCTTCTGATCTGGTCTTTTCCCTCACGGCAGTTCAGGCTTTCCCCATGCCTCCTCCCCCACTGCTCGCTGTAGTCCAGGGAGGTGGGAGCCTGGGAGCTGAAGGGTGTCTGGAAGCTCAGAGCCCCTGCGCCCTCCGGCGCCCTTGCTGCACGCCCCTCGAGGCATTCCCGTTCTCTAGCTAAGAATGGCAAGTGGGGGGAAGGTCTGCCCGGGCCCCAGCCCCTGCCCCCTCCTTTGCAGTATTGCCTAATCCCCCTTCCCCCACCTCACCTCGAGGGGAGAATTGGCAGAGCTGGGGTAACAGAGAGCCGGACGGGGACGCGAGACTCCCTGGGAGATTTCTCTCTTGCTTCCTCTCTGCCCCCCCAGCCCTAAGAGCTCAGGACTTTGTCCCCCACTCCCCACTCACCTTGTAGAGCCAGTGCCCCCTTCCAGGCTCATTGCACATTTGAGTGGCCAAAGGCTTTGCTGGAGGGTAGTGGAGGTTGTGAACAATTCTGTGTGTGTGTGTGTGTGTGTGTGTGTGTGTGTGTGTGTGTGTGTGACCTTTTTCTCTGGGGAAAGTTCTTTCAGGTTAAAGAGCTGTCTTTCCCATCCCTGCCAACACCTCAACACCTATGAAAAGCGCCCCCCCGCCGCACTGTGTGTGTGTGTGTGTGTGTGTGTGTGTGTGTGTACCATATGGTTGTAAGATGTATAATCTTAGGATGGAGGTGACTGGGTGCCTTGAGACATCCCAGAGTGTGGCCCAGGCCAGAACAGACTCAGCCCAGATGGCTGGGGAAGGGGGTGTGGACCAGATCAGGGAGGCCACCCAGCCATGCCAGCTCCCTGGGCTCCTTGGCTTTCAGAGCTCAGGTTCCTGGTGTTACCCCAAAGCTTCTGCCCTCCTTCAGGCTCTCTGGGAGAGGGTTGGATGGTACCTACTGTTTACAGTGGTTTGTCCCTCTCATTGGGGGCTGACAGGCCTTGTCCTCTGAAGATCTAGGGCATCTCCTTCTGGCTTGGTGGGTTTGCAGGAGGGGTGTATGGCTTGTCGGGGTAACCGTGTTTGTAAGTGTGAGTGTCGCCTCTGGGTGTAGCAGACTGGGGTGGGGAGCAATGGAAGAGATGGGTCACATTTTGAGGGAACCCCTCTAGCTCTCTGTGTGGTAGGTGAGTGGCACATCCCTATCTGGTAACTCTGTCTGGGTGTGGGGTGTGTTCTGTATCCCTCCATGACTCCCCAGATCCCCGAAGGGTTGGTTTTAGAGGAAAACTTGGATAATGGCGGGACTTCATTCTGCTCTTGACCCAGGAAGGAAAGTAAATTCTGAGTGTGAGGTGTGAGCGGTGGACTGAGAATCAGGCCTGAATGTGAGACTCAGCTCATTCTTTTAACTATGCATTTATACAGTTCTCTAAGCCTCTGGTTTCTTCATTTATAAAAATGGCTATAGTAACAAGACCCGCTTGCCTATTAGAGATACGGCCATAAAGACCTCATAAGGCAATGTATCCTACAGCCCAGTGCAAATGGTAATAATGGTGCTGGGGGGGGGGTGTTTCTAGGATGGGATTCTCTTTCTAATCTAGGTCATCTCTCCGCCTTCAGCTCCCTTCCCCCGTCCTTGCCCATCTGGGGGATGGAGGAAGCAGACAGGGTTTTTGCCCCAGGGGCTGCAGAATTCCCCTAATGTAGGTTGTAGCTGGCCCCCAGCTCTTTTCCTCTGGGGCTCTACACCTTCTCCCCTGAGCCCCATCTCCACCTTCCTCCTGTCATTCCTGTTCAACGTCCTTGTGCCTGTGTCTCCCCTGCCCAGTGGCCTCCTTGTCCGGCTCACTGGGCAGGAGCCCTAATCGGATTCGACAGCTGAGATATGTGTGGCGGCTGAGAGCAGGCAGGAGGGAAGCCAGAGTGGGAGGATGGTATGAGGGCTGCCCCTGGCACTGCCCAGGCCTCCTAGGCACCACCTTGGGCCTGCTGACTCCTGGCTTGGCTTGGCCCCAGGGAAGGGGTGCCAGGGGAAGCTCAGGAATGAACAGGCTGGGGTCTCGAGATAAAGGAACTGGAGAACACACCTAGGTCCCCAGGACCTCTTTGATATTTAGAGCCCTTAACCTCAGCATTTGGGACTCTGACTGGGAGGAGGGGAGAGTAGGTGACTGGCTGGCCCCGCCCCCTGCCCATCCCCAGGGCTCTGCTTTCTTCTCTCTTCTCGTTTAGAAATGTGTTCGCTTGCCCCATCCAGCCCCTCTGGCCAGTTCCTCCTTAAGGGCCACATCTGGGAGCTGCTGGGGCACCATGTGTCTGCCTCACTCTGGGCTGTTTCCTCCACTCCAAGGTATTTCTCTCATTCACTCTCTGGGCCGGGCGCCAGGACTCCCGGGTTTCCCGCCTGCCTCATGGTGCAGGGCTGCTCTGCAGGCCTCCAGAGAATCGCTAAGCTGGTTTCCTTCCTCCTGTGTGGGGAGGGCCTTCTCCCAGGGCTGGGAGGTGTCAGAAATCCCAGGTGGGTTAGGGGTGGGGGCACTGTAGCCCCTGGTGCCCCAGCACCCCGGCCCCTCCCTCCTAACCTCTGACTCAGCTTCAGGGCAGTGTCTGCCCAGCCTGGCAGGCATGGCCTCTTCTTGCCTCCAGGCTTCCATCTTTACGTGTGGGAGCCAAGATCTAGCCTCTTGAGCTTTTTTCCCATGGTATCTCGGGGGGGCTACCGAAACCCCTCTGTCTACACCCACACGTTTGGGGGAGCAGGGGATTAGTGTAATTGAGGCTGGGGCACTTATTTTGTCTTCCTTCCAGCTGGGCCAGGATGAAGAAAACCAGCACAAACTTCCCCACACCAATTCCCTCTGCCCTCAAAAGACCAGTCAGTGGAGCCAGGCCCTGCCCTTTCGGTGCCCACAATGTGGTTGGCACTGATTTTTCAGAAATTGGGAAGGTTTCCCTCTAGACCGCTGGCCTCCTCTCTCCTCCTCCCGAGGGGTAAGGACAGCTCTCTGATTGTAGGCATTTCTGGGCAGGCCTCCCCCTAGAGAAGGGGTGTGGGATGCCCTCGAGATGGCCAAGTTGGCACTAGCCCCAGGCTGGAGGGCTGGACCTGATTTGGGGCTGGGAGTTTGTGGGGGAGAGCAGGACATGGGCCTCCCTGCCCCCCTCATTTCCTGCTCTTTGGGCAGCTGTGGGCGAGAAAGGCTGCAGGGACTATTTTTAGTTGGTCTGTCCCCTGGCAGGAGGGACGTGCAGAAAAGCACGGGGCAGGCAGAGGGGCTGGCCAAGGTGAGGGTAAGAAGGCGGGTGGGGGACTGAGGCAGGGCCAGAGGGGCAGCAGACAGAGCAAGGATGCGTGGTGGGCAGGGGTAGAACCTTGAGTGGGGGAGAGGGTCCTGACCTGGTAGATGGGCTGGACTGGGCTCTCTCTGTCCAAATAGAACTAGAGGGGCTTTAGAGGCGCCTGGACCATCCCTCCCCTTTACAGAGGGCGAGACTGAGGGCATGTGACTTGCCCTAGGACCTTCAACCAGTCGTTGGCTGCACTGGAACCCCAGCCCAGGCCCCTTGCACTGTTTGTTTTTCTCTTGTCATGGTCTCTCCCCCGACCTGGTTGTGCTCCCTCCCCTCCTGCAGCAAGGGCTGGGTTCCTGGTTTGTTTCCCTCTCTGCTTGTTTACACGGGGTCTCCGGTAAACCCCAGCTGGGTGTGTTTATAAGTCTCCACCATATGGAGAGAGTCTGTGTCCAGGCTGGAAGGAGGTCAGGGCTGGGGTTTGTTTAGGTGGCCTGTGGCCACTGATGTGAATCAAGGTGCTGGGCAGGTTCCAAAAGTCTCACAGGCTGGGGAGCCGGGAGCTTGGAGACCCCTTTGAGAAGGGGCATGTCGGTCTAACTCCATTTTAGAGACCCAGAGAGGGCTGGGGGTTGTGCCTACAGTCCCAGGATGAGTTACGGACAGACCAAGGGCTAGGATGCAGCTTTCCAGACTCTCCAGAGCCTTTTGTGAGCGCCCATCCTGCCGTTCCTAGGTCAAGGTGGTTGTTTGCCAATCCCCCTCAACAAAGGAAGGGGGTAGGCACGGGGAGATTGCTGTTGGCTTCTGATCACAGTCAGAAGTGAGCCCTTCTGAGGCCTAGAGGCAGAGGCAGCTGGTTGGAGGTGCAGGGTAGGAAAGTTCAGTGCAGAAACGTGGTTCCTCAGAATTCAGCCTCATCCCCAGGGCCACCATGTTGCACAGCTGCAGGGGGCGCCATTCCATAGACCAGGGTATGAATGGTACCCTCTCTCTCCAGTTGTTCAGAGCCCTGCCTGTGTAGCCAATGATGGTGCTTCTGTCCCCCACCTTCTTTCTTTGAATCAGCTTCAGATGCTGCTGGAGGGAGGTGTCCCAGACAGGCTTGAATCCAGCTCCCCACCCCCCTCCTGCCACTCGATGGCTCCTATTCCCCTGCCACGGTCTCAGTGGGCCACAGATTGGGTGCAGGGGCCCCTCCCCCCTCTCCGCTCAGTTTCTATGTCTCTGGCGGGCTTACTTATCATTCCCCCGCCCATCAGGCAGGCTGCAGTGTATGAGAAATCAATAGTGCAAATGGATGGAGGTTGTTCAGCTGGTCGGTTCCTCTTGGGCCCCATCAACTCTCCCAGGACTTGGGGAGTTACTCAGTCCACTTCTGGCTCAACATACGCAGAGATACACACACCTAGTGGTTGTAGCCTGGGCACTGAGCACGGGAATTATTCTTTCTGTCCATCACTGTCTTCTCTCTCATTCTCTCTCTCTCCCTCTCTCTCATATACTGGGCTGGTCTTAGCATGACAAATACCCTTGAACATTTATTGTTTTCTAGCTTGGGTGGAGTCCACTGCCAGCCAGAGGTGGGAGGGGAGCAGGTGGGTGAGGCAGGCTGTGCCCAGGGAGGAGGATGAGCTGGGGAAGGGATTGGGTGGCAGCCCACCCCATCAGCCTC